GGTCTCGATCTCCTGACCTCGTGATCCGCCCGTCTCGGCCTCCCAAAGTGCTGGGATTACAGGCTTGAGCCACCGCGCCCGGCCATGGAATCTTATCTCTGAAACGAATCCTGCAATAACCACAAACACAGGCACCACAGAAAAAAGCCACTTAGTGGAAATTCTTCCCTTGCTGTCTATTGAGAGTGACCTTGGTGTGACCTCCTCCCCATACCCTTCTTCTGAACACAGGGCCCACTGGGTGGGGAAGGGTCTCACTTACTCCCAGAACTCGATGACGGGAGAGGTGGCGTTCTCAGAGGTACCATTCAGGGAGCCATTGGTCTTCTGGAACTCCACACAGTGTTCTAGCCATGGGTCACGAGGAGGGAAAAAAGAGAAAAATCACCAGCCAGCATATGACACAACTAGAGAGCGGGATGAAATTCTAGGAGAATGGGAAGGAAGGTATTTGGCAGAAGCCAGGCTAAGGCTATCTGCACAAAACATCCTCCCACACACAGTAACCTCAACAAACGCAGCTGCCTCTCTACTGCACACTTGGACATGTGGGTACATAGATGCTTGGGTATATATTCTCCTTAAGTATGATCAGATGGCAACCCTGTGCAAAGTCACCACCTTTGAGGAATAAGAAGAACGGTTTCTGGGGAAGTGACGTGTCAGAATGGCCAAGACCACAGGTTAGCTCTGGCTTGAATGCCGACCCCCCGGGTATGAACTGTGCGTCTGGGGGTAAGTTCTAACTCAGCTCTCTGTGTTTGGCTTCCCTCGTCTCTAAACTGTAGATAGTAAGATCCATTGCGTAGGATTGATAAGAAATTAAATGAACACATGGAGCTAGAGTGCTCTTTATTATTTGTATGTGACTTTGGAGTTTTACAAAGAATACTGACTTTTTTATGTTTGATAAATACAATAATCCTGGGAAATATTAAAACAGATACTGTTTTCCCCATTGTGCCCATGAAGACAGTGGATCGTCTTAGAAATGGCCTGTATCTGCTCGTGAATGAGCACGTGTAGGCCGGAACCCAGGTCAGCAAGTTGTCTGGGTTCCACCTTCAAAATACCTAGACGGATCCTTCTTGTCACCTCTACTACCACCACCCTGGTAGAGGGTAAGCACCATCTGCTCCGGGCTCCTACTTGGCCTTCAGTTTTCACCCTTGCTCCCCTCGTGAAATCTCCATTTTGTTAAACCTTAGATCACTCTATGTCACACCCCAGGTCAAGGCCTCCAATGGGTTTCCCATCCCACTCACAGGAAGAAGCCGCAACCCCTTTAGTTGCCTTCAAGGCCCTACTGGATCCATTCCCGCACCGTTCCCTCAGCCACCTGCCCTCCCACATCCACCCTGTTCCCTGCGCACACGGGGCGTGTTAGGTGCCGCCTCAGCTCCTTCCTCCTAGAGTTCTTGTCCCCCAGCTCAATGCCTCGTTCCCCTCCTCCTTGAGCCCAGTGCTGAAGGGGCATCTCAGTAGGGCTATTCCTGACCATGCCACTGAAAATTGCAACCCCACCCATAAAACTCACAGTCTCTGTCTTATTTTCCTCCGTAGCCCGTCTTCTAACATGACATGTCCTGCTGCTTTCTAACCGGACACGTCCCGTCCACTTGTTTTGTTTACGTCTCTACCTCCCGGACACGTCCCGTCCACTTGTCTTGTTTACGTCTCTACCTCCCACCGCTAGAATGAGGGTGGCCAGGAGGATGGGGTCTTTGTTTTTGTTTATTACCATATTCCCAGTGCTCAGAACAGAGCCTGGTATCATATAGCAGGAGCTCAACAAATATCTGTTGGGTGGTTGAAGGCCAGCTGGGTGCTCTGTCCACTAAACCATTCACTTTCCTTGACACTGCAGCACACCCAGAAAAGCATTATTTCATCTTGGCAGGACGGCGCGTCTTGTGCTGTTCAAATGCTAGGCTCTGAGTAAAACCAGGCTCACCGGGAGAGATGTCAACAATGTCAAAAAATAACACTCAGGTATTCAATTTGCCTCAGAATTGTCCCAGAGACCGCCAGTCGATCCAAAGGAAGATAGGCCTAACGATGCCCTGAAGCAAACGCTCTAGGCCACCAAAAATTGACAAAATCGTTTTAAGAGGGACTCCACTGAGATCTGGATAAAATCTTTACTCTCTGACAAGCTGGTTGTCAAGGCTGGTTTCAGTACACAAAGATATTTTTAAAAATAAAATAAAAACGAAGAAAAGAAATATATATATAAAGCTAAAGAATTACAATAAAACAGATTTTTTTCTGGAGACCAAGTCTCTCTCTACTACCCAGACTGGAGCGCAGTGGCACAGTCTCGGCTCACTGCAACCTCCACCTCCCAGGCTCAAGCGATCCTCCTGTCTCAGCCTCCCAAGTAGCGAGGGCCATGGGTGTGTGCCACCACCCCGGCACAATTTGTGTATTTTTAGTAGAGATGGGGTTTCAGCATCTTGCCCAGGCTGGTCTCGAACCCCTGAGCTGAAGGGATCCACTGGCTTCAGCCTCCCAAAGTGCTGGGATTACAGGCGTGAGCCACTGCCCCCAGACTAATTATAATAAAACAGATCTTTAAACCCCGAATCATTCAGTCAATAGTTTTGAGTGCTTATGATAGAGCCAGCACCGTGCTAGGCACAGAAGCTGTGGAGATGAAGACACCTTTTCTGCCCTCACGATCTTGATGACTAGTGGGAAAATCAAGTCAACAAGCAGAAGAAAAGTGAGGGAAGTGCAGCAGTAGGGCCGGGGCCAGTGCAGGTGCCACCAGACACATTTAAGAAGAGCCTCATGCGATCTTGGGGTATCAGAGGAGGTACCCCCAAGGTTTACTTTCCCTTTGAAAAATCAGGGTGGAATGGAGGTGGTGGCAGTGATGCACAAAGACGTGCCTGGAAGGGCAGCAGCAAGTACAAGGCGAGAGAGGTAACGGTGAGGTGGTGACATAGACAGGAGTCAGGTCATGAAGGGATAAAGAATATCATGCTAACCACGCAAAATGCTTTTCCGGGTAAGTAAAGGATTCAAACTCCAGTTCAGAATTGAGTAAGAGTAACTTATCTGAGCGAGAAAGAATTGGTCCAGGCGCAGTGGCTCACACCTGCAATCCCAGCACTTTGGGAGGCTTAGGCAGGGGGATCACAAGGTCAGGAGTTCAAGACCAGCCTGACCAAAATGGTGAAACCCCATCTCTACTAAAAATACAAAAAATTAGCTGGGCGTGGTGGTGGGCGCCTGTAATCCCAGCTACTCTGGATGCGGAAACAGAATTGCTTGAACCCGGGAGGCGGAGCTTGCAGTGAGCTGAGATCGCACCACCGCACTCCAGCCTGGGCGACAGAGCAAGACTCCATCTCGAACACACAAAAAGATAAAAAAAGAAAGACAGAGTTAATCACGGCTAGCCCACTTCAAAGGGGTAGGGCCTCGCTGACTGGCACTGGAAGATACTTGGACAAGGAGAGAGGGATGTGCCAAGAATCCAAGCTGAAGAGTGTCCCCTGTGCTCTCCAGCCACGCTGTCCACTGGGGCGGCCACGAGCCTCCTGTGGCTGTTTAAGTTAACATTCCATGCACGTGTCAAAGTTCTGTTCCTCCGACCACTTGCCACATTTCAGATGCTCAATAACCACATGTAGGAGTCACGCCAAACCTACACTGGTTCACTGCGACTGCCCAGAAAAGGTAAATCAATAAATAACCACACGTAGCTGGTATTAATAGCTACCGTATTGGATAGTGCAAAGAACATTTTCATCATTACAGACAGTTCTTTGGGACAGCATTTCCCTAGATATTTTTGTTGTTGTTGTTATTTT